AAAACACACATCATTGTAAAACCATTTTGATTTAGCCACTATTTCATCACATATTTTATAGTCAATTTAAATACGATCTACATAGCAATCTTCATATAATGACCATACTAAAAAATCACCGTAAGTGACGCCACACATAAGTAACTGAGTTTGTACCTGGTAATAAATAAAAGTAGGTGTTTGCCTTCATTTATATTGTATTAACCAACCCACCCACTTATTTACCTATGAAATTTTTCATAGGTAAAACCAACTTTCGGCTCCTCTGTAATCTATTACCTTTCGAATGTTGTAAAGAAGTGGTGTGCCAACTGCCAAGTAGTTTTAAAACAAGTAGTGATAATAAAATAACTTAGAATCTGCAGTTAAAGTTTGGTAGAAAACTTAAAACTTAAAACTTAAAACTTACACCAAACAGAACTGTTGTTAAATTCCTAGTCAACACAACACTTTTAATCTCTGATTATAGAATAGACTATTGTATAACCAGTAAGTATGTAAAGAGAAACAGAAACCTTTATGTACTTTTTAAATTAATCTTTACACACAGAAATGCATTCTTATACTTGACTTACTTCAGAAACTTCAAGAAAATAGCTATCCGCCACAGTTCATTTGACATTTGAAACCCATCCACTATCAAAAAAATTATATGCATCCAGACTTTTGTAGGCTTTAAATTCTTCCAATGTTTAAGCACTTTTACTCAATACCAGGTAGTTAAAAATATCAGGTAAGTAATTGAAGGCACTATGTTTAAATCTGTTGTCCAAAGTATACTATTATTGTCTTTCAACAAATATGGATCTTGAGAATTTACCAATTTTATTTTCTCTAAATATCGTTTCTGAACGTCCCCAGTTAAACTACGAGCGTGGTTACTCAATTTAATTGACATAATTACAACGTTATAACTAAAAAACACAATTTTAAGTAAGAGTTAACTAATACAATTATGAATAAATCAAAAAAAGTTAATTAGAAACCATATACAAATGGACCACCAATTAGTGATAAGGACGTTATCATATTATAAACATAACCTAAAATAAAGTGATCAATAGTATTTAGAATTGTATCGTAATTCGTAACAAGGGAAACTACCTAAGTACCTAACTAATCCATTATACTACACACTTAATAATTACATCTAACACGTAAGTTCCTTTGTACCTATTTATATTATAATATTATTATTATTATTATTTATATTTATGCGGGTCCAACGTTATTGTGTATAGGTACATTAATTGAGTAATTTTTTTTTGCCCTGTTGCTTGAGTAATATTATAATAGTACCAACGCTCTATTATATTTTATTATAATAATATTTATACATTCGTGTAGAAAAACAATCACCGAGCTGTTTTAATAAACTCGTCGAAACCCATAAATAGGCATTGCCGCACGACGGTTATACATAGATATACATTTTATTAAACCCTGCATATATAATACCTACACGGTATTATAATACATTTCGGAGACGCATGATGTGCGTGACGTAACCACCTTGGGCGAAAAATCATTTAAAAAATTCATAAATAAAACATTTTTTTTTGTTTATTTTTTTTTAACGAGCAATAACATTATTTTCTCACACCGTATACCCAGTACACGTGCGTATTATACGTATACGTAATAAAATATAATATAGGTATCTACTATATACATGCATATAATAATATTTTAATATAATATATAGGTATATACGCACACGTTCGTGATCACATATTTTATATCTCACATTTCAATCGCATATCGTACCCGTTACAAAATATAATATACCTACCTAGATATACATGTACCTATAGGACCTGCGACGGTGTAAAGACTTTGACAGTGTAATTATTAAACATTACGTATTCATCAACTACTTCTATATGGCTAATTATGAGTGAATATATTATTATTAAACAGCATGTAAAAAATGTACGTGTGTGCGTGAACGAGTATATCGAGGCACTTGTGGTTGTGGGTAGAAAAAAATAAAAATTGAAATTGAAACGGTTTCTTTAAAAATATTGTATTAATTTTAAAAAGTATAAAAAAAAATATATGAATACACGTCACTTAATACATGTGATGTGTATATATGGTAGGTATTCAAAAAATAAAACTCAATGACTAATAAGCATAATAATCGACGTAGGCGAACGAAGATGAAGAAAAGCCGGATGTTTAACACTGATAAATCAATTACCTACCTACTCAGTATTTTTAATTGTTATTATTATTTTACTTCGTCATAAAATAATAATTTAACGGTACCAAGTTAAACAACATTGCGACATTTCAATCATTTAACTTCGCACGTCTTTTTTAACATTATTGTTATAACGTCAAAATGTGTGTGGCACTTATAAATTCAGTGCTCGAATTGGAACAAGAATTGAGGACGGAATCACCAACTGGATTCACTTTTCCATCGAACAAGATACTGTTGAAGAAGATCGTAGCCGTTTTACTGCCCCTAACTGTGGTGACACAACACTAAAAAAATCTTCGTAAAATCAATAGGTACCTACATTCATCACTCTGCTCAGAATCTAAGTTATGAAAACAAATTAATACAAGTTTTTGATGGACATATTAAGTTGTTAGTTTAATATAAACTCTGATATAAATAGTTAAACGTTTACTAATAATTTTATTTTTGTACATTCACAATATATTATATGCATTAAATTAATAATTTAATTTATAAAATATATAATATTACAACGTCGATGAGTGGCAACAATCAACCAACCAATCACTTAATTCCTACTTTAATTTTTAATTGTTCTTATTTTAGCGTTATAATGGTGGTTTGATGAAAAGTTCGTTTGTAATGTTGTATTATTATGTCAATATCAATCGTCCGCGGAAGTTGGTCATGACTCGTGACTAATTTAATATTGCCGTGGAGGTATAATACAATATAGTGTAGTTGACGTTATATAAATGTATATAATATATTATAAGACTGCCGCTGCAAGCTTGTGCCGAATTTATTACAATAATGCATGATAATATGTATGATCATTATATAGATAAGTACGAGGGGAACAATTTCGAAGAGCGCCCTCGCCTTTTATTCTGAGTCAATTTCCTCATCGTATTAAATTGTATATTAATATTATGCAGCAAACACGCACGCACACTGACAATTACTATAGACGTGCTTTATACATAATGCATACACCCTGTAAACAAAATCCAGGGGTGGCCGAAAAATCGACAGCCATGCAGATATTATTACTCTGAAAGAAATATAAACTACTAGTTATATTGACATGACATGAATACGTGATTGTAGTAGTTACATATTATGCAGTGATTATTGTTATCAAATTATATTTTGTAGAACAACAATTAATTAAGAAATAAGTGTTATCAGAAAACAAATTAAGCTACTGACTAGGGTAGGTTAAATAATTAATTATTTAAATTAAATAACTCACATTTTTTCTCGAAACTTAAATGTTCAAATATTAATATTTTTAGAAAATTGAAATCTATAAAATGGTTATATTAATTTTTTTTGAAAATGATTAAATTAAAACAGTGGTTAGTGGATGTCTGTATAGTAGGTTACAAGTGGATCACTGTAATGGCTGGTGTTAAATTTGAATTCAATGATATATAATAGGCTCTGTCTCAGGTCCCGGAAATTCCGTGAGATTTGCCATTATGTTATCAGTCCCGGACAATTTGTGTAATCAATGCGCATGCGCCGGGACTTGGATTTTTTTCCGTAGTTCGTACAATAATTACCGTACAATTATAATCCCGGACGATTTGTGTTATCAAAATATAAAAACCGTAAACGTATACTTTACTTGTGGTGGGGGAGGGGGCATAATTAAATATTATGGTTTATAAATAAACCAAAAATACAAAATTATTAAATTATCAAAATATTTAAAACAATTAAAAACCATAAAAACATGTATTTTGTTAAATATTATAAAAAACCGTTTTTTACCCAACCCTGATGTTATGTGTTCTACCTATATAGCTGGGATTAATACTTATTAATGCAACAAAAATTAAATTTTCTCAACCCTGTGACCCACTTGGGGAGGTGTTGCACAGCAAGTCGGGGGATATTTTCGATTTGCGGAGCGGAGCGACGGCGCCGAGGAGCGTAGCGACGAGTGCCGCTAGCACTGCATCACTGTACGATGTTTTTTCAATCAATTGCATTTTTGTTGCACCGAGCCACCAATTTGAAAAAACATCGTACATTCGTACAGTGATGCGGTGCTAGCGGCACTCGTCGCTACGCTCCTCGGCGCCGTCGCTCCGCTCCGCAAATCGAAAATATCCCCCGACTTGCTGTGCAACACCTCCCCAAGTGGGTCACAGGGTAATAAAAAATATATACTTCAAATTATACTTATATTGTACTTTATTACTTTAATATTATTACGGTAGACCACGTCCATTTTGGTAGAGTGATAACAAGGTTTGATAAGAATTTGGTATCGGAAATTATCTTGTCGCGAGACGCCGGGATTATAAATGTACGGTAATTATTGTACGAACTACGGTCCCGGCGCATGCGCATTGATAACACAAATTGTCCGGGACTGATAACATAATAGCAAATCTCACGGAATTTCCGGGACCTGAGACAGAGCCTATATAATATCATTGTATAAGAAAAACGATTCTGAGCTAAAACGGTGATATTAAGGTGAATAAAGTTATTTAAGTGGAATCTTGTTTTAAATTTTCAATCCTTAGCTATAAAAGATCAACATTTTATAAATTTTTAACTACAAAATTATTATTAAATTTTAAACGTGATAATTTTTTTCAAAATCGAAGAATAAATGCCGGACACGTTCCAGCACCTTCTGAAACATTGCCTATACAGAACCATAGGTTTTACCCCCAGCAGCCTTAAGAAGGTGCCGGCATTTATTCTTCGATTTTTTTGGTTCTGAAACTGGAAAACTATAGTATCAGGGCTGCTGATCAACTTATCCAAATGACATTTTTGGGGGAAATTAATAATAACACCGTTTTTGTCGATCCAAAGTACATTTTACCCCGTAAGCCTGCACCAAGTACCGTTTTCTGGACAACTCGACACTACTGTATGCTAATGTTACTCCCCAAACTGCATCTCCAGCATAGTAGAGACCCTGACGAAGCCAGTTATATGATTGGCTAAGTTTGTAGTACCAAATTTTGATGTTTAATGAATTATAAACCGATTCGTCTCTACCGGCATAGTGCATATTGCGTCCGCCCGGTACTGTTTATTTATAATGTAGTGTCAATATAATATATATTACTTTTTTCCGGTGCCTATGTCGTGTAATTGGCATGCCAAAACCCACGACATATCTGGTGCATTTGTTATCTAATCGTAACGACTTTCCCCACAAAAGTTGACCTTCATTTTCTGACACAATAGAAATTGTAATTGTCGTCGATATAGTTGTTCTAATTCACACACCTTTTCCCGATTTTAATTATATATAATACATAAATATGTATAAAAAACGTACTTTGTCGATGGTAAGATTGAAAGAGGTCAAGTATAATATAGGAAACAAAAATATTTTTGACGTCGTAAGGTTTTCTGATTTTATAGGTGAGTAATTATTTTATAATATTATAAATACAAATTAAATTAAATAAATAATTAGAGCAACCCGAAGAGCCAATTATTCGGAATTATAAAATTGAAAGTACCAGCAACAATAATTATTGAAAAATCATGAAAAAACCTTACAAAAACGTAAACGTTATTCGTAAATTAAAAGTGTATTTCAAGTAAGTGTATTATAAGTAAGGGTAAATCGTTTAAAGGTGATTTTATTTATTAAAATTAAAATTTGTTTGTTATATTTTAAGGAAATATCACTAAAGATTGGGTCAGCAATTCATTTTGGGGTTCAAATGTTACTTGCAAACAAACTTAAAGGCCCAATAGTTTTTACTGTAGATCAGTTATCTGTAATATTAAAAAGTTTTGCCATATACCAGATTGATGTGGCGAAATATTTAGGTAATGCTTGTATAATACAAAAGTTTATAAATGATTTTGATGTTGTGTCATTCACAATGTCAAATGACATTTTGGAATTATTACAATTCGCAATGAAAAACAGTGTCATTGGCAATAAAAATGATTTGGATATTATGTACATAAACGAACAAGCTAAATATAAAAAGAAAAATAAGTCCATTAAGAAAATAGCGAGTCAGTCGGTGAAAAATATTTACTGTACATTATTAATTTTTAACATTTATTTAATATAATAATTAAATTATTATTATTATTATTTAATATAATACTTTTATTTTATTTTATTTTGAAGTTTCTGCGTTAACAACAAAAAAATCGATAATCCAGACTATTCCAAAGTTATGTATAACGGTGCATACTTTAATTGCATTATAAATCATTTTGAAAAAAATATATTGCCTATTAAATTTTGGGAATATCTAAAAAAGAAACCAATAAACAGCAAAAGTCAATTTTTCGATATGTTGAAATATATATTTCAAAATTTGGGTTACAGTAACTTAAATATGGTTGCAAGCAATGAATCGTGAGTATTTAGTTTGAAAGTAATAACAATTAAACACACATTTATTTACAATTAAAATATTTGTTAATAGCATAGAAAATAGTATTCACAAGATGAAGAATGTTGTATTATTATAATATGCTGATTGTTGCAACATTCAACACATTTTGCATTTTCTGAATGTATTGAATAAATATAAACATAGTGTGATTTGTGCTGACGGAATTATATAGTTACTACAGGATAATTAAAAGTAAATTCATGGATTTCAAAAATAAATTTAAACATTATGCAAAGAATTTAATTTTAATTCAACAAATGAATCTGTAAGTTATTCAAATAACCACCTACAATGTATACTTACAATAACAATTGATAAATTGATAGGAAAAAATATTATTGTGAAGCATACAAGTTTTAGTCATTCGTCAATTATAAATTTAATGTATCAAACCACCTCACTAAATCTTAATCTAAATATCTCCGCCGACAGGATTACTATTAATATCTTTTAGTTGGCGTTTGTACTTTGTACAGGTTTTCACTCAACCCCCCTTATACCCGCTTTGTCAATCGAGCATTCGAGCCGCCGCCGTCATCATCGTTATTTCGTTAAACCGATGATTTCAAATTTACAACAAAACGGGAATTAGAAATATTAAACAAACAGAAGGAGTATAGCAAATCTATAAGTGATAATTTATGCAAGTACGAAAAAAATGATATGTTTAAAGATTTGGTCAATGATGTCAGGGTTGTATCTACTAAATGTATTTGTTCTGGAACAGTTATTAAAACCCTTTGTGGTCAAACATTCCCAATAAAACCAGAAGAAAATAAGAAATAATAGTATGTTTTGCTTAACTAAAACTATTTATAACAAATAAAATTATTTACAAAAAAAAAAAATTGTGCCTGTTTTTTTAATATTTTTCAACTGCTATTGTAAAAATATATCAGGAGCCTTTCAATTAATTTTCACGCCTTTTCACCCAACAAATAAAATTTTATTGATATTTATAGAAAAAAACTAAAAAAAAATTGAAAACTGACAATGTCGTAGGTAAAGGATCAGAAAAAGTCAAATTATTTTCAAAATTGTATGGTGTATAGAAAATTCTAATATACACATTCAGTGAAATTTACAAGTATCATCTACAGTCATTCGTTTTTTAATTACAATAAAATAAGAAAACCGTTACATGAGAAATCGAGTGAAAGTTGTAAAGTATTCTAATATGTATTCCGAATATATTTTTTGAGAACTATTCGAATACCTTAATTCTCATTTATTCCGAATACAAAATAAAAGTATTATTTACAAGACTGGCTGGAGGTGATTCATTTTAGGTCGACTAAGCTCAATATAATTTTCTGATATTAATTTTGAAAGAAGATTTTAATTGTCACTAAATTATCTATGCTTTGACAATTTTATTATTTTTTTTGCTTAAAAATGTACAAAATTTAAAATATATACAATAGTAATTTTTTTTATATACAGACTCCAATGGTAACACATCTAATAACTTAAAGTTTTCTTTAGTAGAAACAAAAAAAAGTATTTTTTCTTAAATATTATATCCTAACAATTTTTCTTTGTAAAAGTTCTAGTAGTCTAGACGGATTTTGATTTAGTCAAAACTATCATTTTGACTATTATTTGATGGAAAAGTATATTTAAAAATTATAAAGAAATTAGGTATCTAGTCAGAGGCGGCTTCATACATTTTGTGGTTCACTGAACCACCAAAAAGTCTGGGGTGGGTGTCATTTTAATAGGTACCTATAAGGTACTTGGTTTTGGTAATCACTAATCAGTGTCAGGTATGGCCGTCTAGGTAATATAAAAAATAAAAATGGTTAGTTTGATGACCAATTTATTATTAGCAACAAATAGATACAATCAACTTATGAAGTTATAAACAGCTTTATGACGAAAAAGGTGGGTAAGTGGATGTTGCTCTGCTGTACAGTAGGTTACAAGTGGGTCACCGCATAATGGATAGTATTATATTTTAATTCAATGACATAATATCATTGTATACGAAATACGATTCTGAGCGGTGACGGTTTGTCAGTGTGGATATCTTATATTATATTTATATTGTTAAATGTTATTAGTTATTATTATACGGTAGCCAGTTAAATTAATATAACACAATTACAACAAAATAACTAAAATAGTTATTCTTGGTATTTTAATATGTAGGTAATTTCATCCAAATTTGAACTTAAAATAACTATAAAAAAAACTGTGATTATGTATTTTTTAGATTTTTTGGTAACAGAATTAATTACTTACACGGAACTTTGTTTTGAAGTTTTAATCCTCAGTTATAAAAGTCGAACATTTTATACATTTTTAACTACTAAATTCAACTTAAAATTTGAACTTTAAAGCTTATAAAAAAAATTGTGCCTATGTATTTTAATATTTTTCAACTGATATTGAAACAATTTATCAGCAGCCTTGAATTAAATTTTCAAGGTTTTTGGCCCAACAAATTAAATTTTATTGATATTCATAAAAAATAACTAAAAAAATTGAAATTTGAAATTGTCCTTAAACAGCTCAAAACGAGTCAAAATATTTTCAACATTTTATGGTCTATAGAAAATAAAAGTATAAACATTCAATGAAATTTTCATGAAAATTGCATGTATCTACAGTTATTCGTTTTTGAATTAGAATAAACTAAGATAATCGTTAAGTACACGAGAAATCGAGTGAATATCCAAGGTTGCAATAATTAATATGAACTTCTGATAAGTCTTGATTTAAAAAGAAAAATTTTTAAGAATTTATAATTCAAAATAATTTGCACATTTTCGTGAAGTTTACATATTTTGTCAATATTTGAACTTTAAATGCTTATAAAAAAAAATTGTGACTATGAATTTTAATATTTTTCATCTGTCTAACCTGGTTGTTTTTAACATTCATAAATATGTCACTTTGACAACTTTGCCCTTTTGGATAGCTATTATTTTAAACTCACTGTATATAAACATAGTAAACTCTCTGACCTCTGTATATTTTAGGGTTATCAATACCTATTGTCAAAGGTACAGGGTGTAAACAGGGTGTTTGGTTTTCACTTTGTACAGGTACGTACCAGATGTACCATAAGGTAAAATCCGATGGTAAAAATAAACGTGCACGAATGAACGCAACTAGGTACGTCATAAAAAATCGTCAAAACAAAGTCCGCGTTTAAGTGGCTTTGTACCGAATATTTAAAAAAATAAATATTGACAATATTAAAGTTACAATAGAATTTTTAGCAATTTCAAAGACCGAAATGGTTGAAAGAATTGACGGTGCACTTCGTCAGTCACCAATTAAATATAATATTGAATTGGAAGCTTCATAATATTATATTAAACCTAACACCGACATGAAAGAAAACCGTGCATTCAAAACCAGGGCAAGATCAATATTGAACGTTTATGATATAAATGAAATGATAGAAAATTAGAATTAAAGTAGCGGATCTGAAGCTCATTTAAGGAGGGGGCGAATTGGTATCATAGAATTTCAATATATACATATTAGTCAATATTAGTCTGTTATAAATAAAAAAAAAATTAAACCTTATAAAAATTCAAAAGTTTTTTATTCAATATTAAATAAACAAATGTATTAATAATTTATTTGAGCAACAATTATAATGTTTCTTTTTTTACCAGCTGCA